CTTTCCGTTACGGTCCCCTGCAAGTACGACGTTCCTAGAGACTCCGGCCGCTGCGGCTCCGGTTTTAATAGGAAACTTACCTTCGCCCACATCAAAGATGACGCAAAATGCGTTCGTCACGTCATAGACGCACATGCACGTTGTAGCGGAGAGCTGGTCTTTTACAGGTTAACTCCACTAAAGATCCCAGTGAGGCTCAGGAACAAGTGATAAAATACCATAGAATAATAATCCCAGCAAGCAAGGTAATCCACGAATATCCCAATGACTGGACGACACACAGCATCAGGAGCAGAACTGAATTTTTAATCCACACAACCTTCTTTTAAAGCTTTCTCCCATGCAAGGGAGGGATTTACAATAATTAGTACAGTATCCAATCATACATGAGTTGCCGCCCACACATCTCCTCCCCTTAGCCTGACTCTTAATCCTATTATGCAGTACACACATTTCTTAGGTTTCTGGATGTACCCCTAAACATAGGGGTACCCCTTTAAATATTATATCTGGGTGAGTGACATATCCAAAAATCACCCAGATCGGACCAGTAGTAAAAAGACTGGAGGGAACAACCGAAATTGGTTCCATGCGTTTTGGCCCTGCGGTCGGTCACAGAAAAAGGGAATAAACTGCACGAATGACTTGGGCTATGGAGACTAGGGAGGATTCAAATAAATATCCTTGTTCGGGTGTTTCTTTCTACCGAATGGGTGGCCGTTCGGTAGTTTCTATACGAATTTAAGGGCAGTGTTGAGGTCTCAGCGGTGTTTGCCTAGCCGAGTGTCCGATTTGGGTTCCAGACACTCGACGGCAAAACACCGCTGTTCGGGAGTTTAAAATGGCTGCCGCCACGTGTTCGTCTCCCGAATGGCGGCCACCCAGAGGATAAAGCACATATTACACGAATTGCCAATTACCCGTTTGCAACATTGTTGCAAACGGTAATTGGAGGCTGTGGCAAAACTAGCCACTTAAGACTGTAGTTGTATAAATGTGTTTCTATAGCTTTAAGGTTGTTAGAATCAAGTGTATTTATGTATCTGTATTTCAGGCAAACAAGAGCATTTGTATGCTGGCGGCATGAAAACCACCAGCATTCATACAGTAATTTCACAAACAGTGAATTTCAACACTGTTTGTGAAACTAATAAACTACCGAATGGGCGACCACACACAGGAGGTGTAGTTAAGTGCTTTCTTAGGTGGCCGTCGTTCGGCTGCCGACCACGCGGCGGTCGGCCATCTTGGATCCTTTGTTAGCCCAGCGGTATTTGGTCGTCGAGCGCCTGGAACTAAAATCGGCTACTTGACGGCACGAATACCGCTGGACTTCCAGGCCTTTGGTAGTTTGTTCCCCTAATGTCAATCGGTATTTTGAATGTGACTTGAATATAATGTGTGTTTCACGCGGCGTTCTGTTAGTTATGATGGGATCTGAGCGGTATTCTCATGAACTGTACGCCCAGACCCCAGCTATCTACCGAACGTCCATTCGTTTAAATAGAGCGAATAATGTGAAAGTTATGTATTTTAATGTGAAATATTGGTTCTGCTGCACGGAGGGATAATCCACTTAACGGTATATTCTAGTGGGAGTATCCCTCTTGTCCAGCAGTGCATGATGGGAAAAATGTATGTGTTGGTCAGTTCCCCATGTAGTCCCCTACTGTACCACCCCTGGAATGTCAGTAGGGAAACCCCTTGCATGGGGAATCCAATAAATACAGTGACTGTAAATAAAAGCTCAGTTGACTCCCAGCCTATGTGTCGTCTAGTTCTTGGGAGAGAAGGGATTATTGTATGCTGTATTTATTTACCTGGATTTTTCTATGCTGTTCCTGTTACCCAGCAGAGATACTGTGGATTATACTACCTCTCCGCTACAGAGGCACACTTACTCCTGGGGTGGTCTGATTGTTCGGTAGTTTCACTCGCATAATAACTGGAGTGATTTTACCGAATAATCAGCGAATGCTGCATACATTTCACATGGTACAATTCAACCGAACACACAGGAATTATATATAATTTTGAGGACAGCCCAATGCCATCCGCTACACACGTTTTGGGGTAAGAGGCCAGAGACAGCCAATTACAGCCTGAAGAGGGTTATTTTAAACCCAAATTTATCTTTTTGTCAGTGCCCTGTTGTGGTTTCCACCAGCCAGTTATCTGAGAGTGAGTTCCTGATCATGTTTTTCTGGTATTTGACTTTGGCTTAGTTTTGACTTCCGTGATATCTGATATCCTTGACTTCTGGCTTTCCACATTGTTGTGTCTCATTCTGTGTTCCTGACCTCGGTAAGTATTCTGACCATTCTCTGGTTAAGACTGGCCATTCTAAGGTCCGGTAAGACGTTATCCCTAGACTTAAGGTGTGATACAATTCTGCGTGCTGGATCAACTATAATCCTGACACATGGGAAGCGTGTTGAGACGCGTTAAACAGT